TAAAAATAAACATAAGGAGTACTGTATTTCAAAATCTTTTCATTTTACGCAGGTGAAAATCTAGCAAGCCTTCCACTTGTTCTTGTCACACTTTGTCATCTCTATCCCAACGCATGTTAAGTGAAAAAAATCTCATAGTGATAATATAACAAAAAAGTTTATAAATTAAATATAAGGAAAGCTTCTCTATTTATTACCTATTGATTTTAAGTTGGATACAAGTTTTGTGTTAAAGCTTTTTCATATAGTATAAAAGTTCAGGTTTTGGAGATAATACACATATAAGAATATTACTTTTTAAAACTTTTTTAAGTAAGGGTATCACTTTTTTATTGAATTAATCAAGGTTATCACCTTTAAAAATGGTTAAATGCTTATTTTGGTCCCTCAACTTTATTAGTTTGCACATTTTTGGTCCTTAAAGTATTTTATGCATATTTTTTATCCCTCAACTTTAAGAAATGCACAATGTTTGTCCTTCCGTCACTTAGGGTTGTTAACTTCACCTATGTGGCATTTTTTTTTTTTAATGATATGGCGAAAACAACTTAAAAAAGTGATGATTTGGACATTTTTTTGATGACATGTCCAATGCCAACTCATATATCAAATTAGACTAGTATTTATATTTTTAATAAAAAATAAAAATTACAAATTTACCTTAATACCCCTATCTCCCTTTCTTGATTCATCTTCTTCCCCTCTTTCGATCCATCTTCTTCCTTTCTTTCTTCCTCTTCCTCCTCTGTGTTGCTGGGTTCCCTCAAACCCAGCTGATCTAGGTTCAAGGGAACCCAGCTCGAGTTCGATGGAACCCAACAAACTGGGTTCCATCGAACCCAGATCTGCTGGATTCGGTGGAACCCAGGCTGGGTTCCCTTCCACCTAGATTTGCTCGGTTTGAGGAACCTAGCGTTGGGTTCCGTCAAACCTAGAACCTAGATTTGTTGGGTTTGAGGAACCCAATAACTAGGTTCCACTTAACACAGCTCCACTTTTTTTTTATTATATATTTTTTGTGAAGAGTTTATGAAAATTGCAAGTTGTGAGGGATTTTTGGGATCCTTTTGCGTCATATTTCCTAACTATTGTCTAAATTATTTTAATGTTCAAAATGGAAAGAACATTGCTAGCAATGGAAAGAATAGAAGCAATTACCGATGGGCAAAGAAGCAATTTTTAGTGGGTTTCCATTTGTTTGGCTAGAAAATTGTACAAGGTGTTTGGTTGCTGAGAAAATGGTTTCAATCTGTTTATTGGTGGTTTTTTGCAAGTAACGTGGAACCCATTAGAAGGGCTTTGGTGCGAGAAGATGACATCCACTACAACCAGATGCATCTATACTGACGGAAGTTTTCCACCTGTATACACCCTTTTCCCGTCAGTATAGACCCCCGGGGCCTATTCTGACGGAAGTCCTTTCAGTCGATGCAAACCTCATCAGTATAGGGTGTATACCGACGATAAATCCGTATGTATAGACCCTGGGATCTATTTCGATGGCAGATTCGTCCGTTGGTATAGACCCTGAGAAATTTTAAGAGATTTTGCCGTGGGTATAGACCTAACCTATATAGATGGATAATTCCATTGGTATAGACCCTCGAAAATTTTAAAAAATTTTACCGTGGGTATAGACCTTAATCTTTATAGATGAATAATATCGTTAGTAAAGATCTTTTTTTTTTTTTTTTTACAATTGGTAATTCACTTTTATTTAATAATTTTCTCTTAAACATATTATTAATACCATTTTTCTGAGCTATAGAATGATTGTTCTGAAAATCAAAATGCAAGTAGAACTGCCAAAAGACCAAAACCAAATACATTAACTCTGCACAAACAAGAAAGAAAAAACACTACTTTGAAATTTCCTAACCATTTGCACGAATCAATCCCTTCAAAGCACACAATTGCTCAAACTAAGCTAGTCTATGCAAATCAAACTATTTAGCACAATAAAAAAGGCCATCAAAAATTTAAAAAAAAAAAAAAAGTT